TGCCATCTTGGTTGGGTTAATTTGCATATAGTAGCCCTGATTGGCTGGTGGGCATGGCTTAAGGCGTAGCAAAGGTACAATCAATTACCATGTTTGTCTATTATTAGATAGGATGGTTTTAAAAGTAAAAGTAGGAGAAACCCTGGGAATGGTGTTTGCTTCTTTGGAGGCAGGCGAGGATGAGGATGGAAGGCAGAGTGTCGGGGCCGCCCTTCACCTGGAGAGCAAACCTGGTGACTCTTACATTCAACTAAGAGTTCTGACGTCCGCAGCTCAGAGCCACGCCTTGTCTTGTCAACGGATCTTACGCCCAAGCTGCCCATTCTGTGCGTTTCGCGCGTGCTCTTTGCATATTTATTTTTTCTTAAATATATTTTTATTGATTTCAGAGAGGAAGGGAGGGGGAAACAGAGAGAGAGAAACGTCGATGATGAGAGAGACTCATTCATCGGCTGCCTCGGGCACGCCCCCTCCTGGGGGTTGAGCTCGCAACCCGGGCCTGTGACCTGGTTCATAGCTGACGTTCAAATCACTGAACCACACCAGCCAGACACACGCTCTTTTTAAAGACATTATTCTGCAGCTTTTCCGTTCGTTCTGTTCCCGAATGTGTGTGTGTCTGGGTCTGTCTGCCTGTGTGTACGTCCTACCTTCTGGTTTCTGTTCCCCAAAAGAATACTCTTTCGTAACCACAACCGCGTGAACCAGTGGTTCTCAACCTTCCTGATGCGGCGACCCTTTAATACAGCTCCTCATGTTGTGGTGACCCCCAATTTCATTGTTACAAATGGAACATAATGAAAGCATAGTGATGAATCACAAAGACAATATGTAACTATATATGTGTTTTCCGATGGTCTTAGGCGACCCCGGTGAAAGGGTCGTTGGACCCCCAAAGGGGTCGCGACCCACAGGTTGAGAATCGCTGGCGTGAGCCGTCCCGTGGTATCGCAGAGCCGGTGGTCACGGAATAAGGGTCGGTGGCCCCGGGGGAGGCCGGGCACCTGCCCGGAGGCTGGGCCCACGGCGGTGACCTGGACTTGCCGTTGCAGAGGGCGGACCTGGCCGTGGCCCCGCTCACCATCACCTACGTGCGCGAGACGGTCATCGACTTCTCCAAGCCCTTCATGACCCTGGGCATCGGCATCCTCGACCGCAAGCCCCGCGGCGCCAGCCCCGGCGTCTTCTCCTTCCTCCGCCCGCTGGCGCCCGACGTCTGGCTGTGGGCGCTCCTCTCCTGCCTGGGCGTCAGCTGCGTGCTCTTCGTGGTTGCGAGGTGAGTCCGAACCCCCAGCCGTGGCCGCCGCCCGGGTGGGCTCGGGGGCCTGTGGGCTCCGGGGCTGGACACGGTGAGGGACGCGAAAGGGGTGTTCGGGGGCTTTTCCGTTTCTGCCTCGTGGTCTGTTCTGTCAGGTTCTCCCTCATCAAAGCCACTCTGTACACGAACGCCTCCGATGCTTTGTGAAGGGCCTTTTCAAAGACCGGAGGTCTGCTCATGCAGAGGCACAGACAGCGGGTGCTGAGGGTGCTGGCGGCAAAGATAAGCCATTTGCTAACGGAGTTGCGTGCCGGTCGTGAGACCCCGCGGGGGAGCGAGAGCCTGTGCGACGTCCCTTCTCCGCCGGCTTATTCGCTTGGCATCACGCTCCCCGGACCCTCCGTGCTGTTGCAAAGGGTGGGCATGCTTCCTCTTTCACTGCAGCGTAGGATTCCACTGCGTCCATGGACCAGGGTTTGGTGAACGGAAATAGATCCAGAGACATAGAAGCATCAAACAGACCGTCAACCCTCAGAGGGAAGGCAGGCCGGGGAGGGGCGGGGGTTGGGGGAGGCGGGTAAGAGATCAACCAAAGGCCTTGTACGCGTGCACATGAGCATAACCAATGGACACAGACACTAGGGGGTGAGGGCATGTGCTGGGGGAAGGGCAGCTGGAGAGAGGTCAGTGTGAGAAAGAGGAGGCATGTGTAATACTTTCAACAATAAAGAAGTGAAATTAAAGGAAAAAAGAAGTCATGTGCTGGGGGAGGGGGAGGAGGAGCATCCACCATGACCTGCTCGGTTAGGGGTGCTGGTCAGTCACCAAGAGCTGGTTCCCATGGAACCCCTTTGGGTCCGCATGCTCCTTGGCCAGGAGTGCGGATCTTTACCTGTTTATTGGGGTTTGTTTTATAGCCTGTGTGTCCTTTGAGCAGAAATCTTGTATCAGATCCGTGTTTTGCAAAGATTTTCTCCCAGGCTGTGGCGTGTCTTTTTATTCTTTGAGCAAATTGTTTTGCAGTATTTTTTAAGTTTATAAAGTCTACGTGATTATTTTACTTCTTATTAAACTTCATGTACACAACTAAAAATTTTTTAAAAGACGGTCAGAAAATAACTTTATATCCATCTCATGTCATCAGTATTTCAGGCAAGATAGTTATGCTCACATGTCCCTGGGATTCTGTTACAGCCAAAGCAGGGGCTCAGCCGGTAAATCGAAAACGTCTCAACGGGCGCGTTTTTCCTGCCCGGAGACGTGAGCCCTGGGATAGTCCGGGAGGCGAGGCAGAGAGAACTGAGCGAGGAGCTGTTGTGGCCAATAGAAACACGGGAATGAAACCAGGCCATGACAGCCTCAGGAATAAACAAATCCTTTCAAATGTTTGTAAAATTTACTTTTACAAAAACATTAGTGATGAGAAAATCCTGGAAATAACTCTGGGAGGAAGCGTGACTTACAGTCAGATCTGGAGGCCTGAGGGGCGTGCTGTGGCTGATGACTGGGGCGGCTGTGTCCTGAGACAACCCTGTGCCTCCATTCCCTCCACACAGTTCCTCACGGGCCTGTGCCTCTGGGATTATGTTTCCTAAACACCTTCGGTGCTGAATTTAAAACAGCAACTTCCTCCTCCCGCTGCGTCGCAGCTGCTGTCCCTGGAGAAACCGAGCAAGACAACTGCTTTGTTCCCACTCGCTCCCCTCTCTCCCATCCTCAGCAGAAGCCGGTGGGCTTGTTCCCTGATCAGTTCTCCGCCCACCCCCACCCCCCTCTGCCCCCCAGAATGTGTAAGAGAAAGATTTCTTCACGCTCATCTCTCCGCTGTGCGCTGCCGGGTTTGATGAATGCCAGGGGCTCTTCCCCTGGAGTAATGACAGAGAAGGTTGGGAAACTCGCCCAGGCGGGCAAGGTCTGAGACCACGAAGCAGACAGTCACCCTGACGAGGGGTGCTTACACCCCCAACAGGAAATGAGTCTTTTCTCCATGCCTATCACAACGTGCCCTTCCCAAACCCAGACTGGTTCCTGCATTTCGGGCGAATATTAAACTACTTTTAAATAGTGACGAAAGCTCTCCTCCCATAGGTCTTACCTCAGAAGATCACATGTTGACAAAATAGATAGTCATATTCCCCTTTATGGTTTAACTAGGGGCCCGGTGCATGAAACTTGTGCACTCGAGGGGGTCCCTCAGCCCGGCCTGCGCCCTCTCACAGTCCAGGAGCCCTCGGGGGATGTCCGACTGACAGCTTAGGCAGGGAGCGCGCCTAAGCCAGCAGTCAGACATCCTTAGCACAGCCGTGGAGGCAGGAGAGAGTCCCACCACCCCTGCTGCGCTCGCCAGCCATGAGTCCTGCTTCTGGCTGAGCAGCGCTCCCCCTGTGGGAGCGCACTGACCACCGGGGGGCAGCTCCTGCATTGAGCGTCTGCCCCCTGGTGGTCAGTGTGCGTCATAGAGATCGGTCGTTCTGCCATTCGTCGATTTGCATATTAGCCTTTTATTATATAGAATACGGTAAATCATTGGTTCTCGGTGGAGAGAGGTTTGTCTCCTACAGAATCAGCTGACAACGTTCTGGAAACATTTTCTGGTTGTCACAACGGAGGTGCAGGTGGGACTGGCCCCTGGTAGGTGGAGTCCAGAGATGCTGCTAAACATCCCATAATACCTGGGCAGCGCCCACAGCACCAGTATGAGCGGCCACGCCGTGAGTAATTAGAGATGTTTTGGCTATCAAGTTTTGTTTTTGTTTTAAATGTTTTTATTGATCTCAGAGAGAGAGAGAAACATTAATGATGAGCGAGAGTCATTAATCAGCTGCCTCCTGCACACTCCCCACTGGGGATCGAACCCGCTACCCAGGCATGTGCCCTGACCAGGAATCGAACCCTGGCCTCCTGGTTCCTAGGCCAACGCTCAGCCACTGAGCCCTCCGGTGGGCTGGATAACAAGTTTTCAGTGAAAGTCGCTCATCTTTGGAGGTGCACGTCTCAGTGTTGACTTCTGAATGAATCCGTGTGGCCCTAAAGCCCAAGGCCATGTGCCTCCAACGGTGAATGAGAAATTTCACATTTGCTCTACCCCGGGCCCCAGGCTGTCGGAGATGCCAGGGACGGTCTGGCCATGCACGCGGCAGAGAGGTGAGCCCACCCCGCGCGGCTCCGCTCTGTCCTGGAGGCAACGCCCACGGTGTGAGGAAGTCGTGTGTTGGTCACGTGACTTGGTCCCAGCTGGCGGGAGAAGACTCGTCAGCAGGATTCCTGGGCTCACGGGCAGGAGCCCTGTTCCACTAGACCTTCACGCGCCCTCAAACCGCCTGATGTTTGTCATCAGATCACGTCAAAGTGGTGGAAAATGTAGGCGTTTCCCTCCTTATTTTCCCCGTTTCTCTATCGGCTCTTGGTGACCCAGGTCCCCACATTTTCCAGCTTTGTTCTATTTCTATTAAGAAAACAGCCTCCTCCCACAGTGGATACCATCCACCAAACAGTTCCGCTCACGGAGCGCCCATTGCACACCAGCACTCCTGTGCATATTTCTCTCCTGGC